GACATACTTTTCATGCAGTGTTATAACCTTGTGTTTTCAGTTTAAATCTGTCTGGTACTTTTTGACCTTGCTTGCCTAGACTTATTTGTTCTGTGACACACATTGTCTGCTGTCTTTTGCAAATCCACCCCATATGCCTGCTGGGGGAGTAGAGATCACAAGCCAGCATCCTCAAAAAAACTAAACCGAATGGCCAGGAAGCTCCCATCATCTCCTCCCAGACCTGTCCTAGATTAGGAAACATAAGGGTGGGGGCACAAAAGTTGTTCTCCTCTCATCCCGATTTAGTTAGAGCTTTGCACCATTACTGGCAGAATATCCCGCCTGAAAGTGGCTGAAGGGGAAAGCTAATTTGTAGTGTGACACAAACTGCCAGATCATGTTTGGAGAGAGGGCGAGGGAGCAAGAGGAAGCTGGCAGAGTGGGCATCCTCTGTCCTCAACGAAAATTAGATTTTAGGATCACTTTACACAAACCAGTCTGGGAGTTGAGTAATGAGTGGTTGAAATGGAATGGCCATGCTGGAAAGTGATGTCGATTTGATCGATGACAGTATATGGCACAAGAGTGTCTTTTTAAAAAAACCCAGGTCAGCTATAATATTCACTAAGCCTAGAACAGTTTAAGAAAGAATGCCACAGTTCCCTCACCTGACAAAGCCATCCATCCTATGGATGTTTGCCCCATCTCATCCCAGTGGCATAGTAGTCTGTTCTCTTAAAATGCAAATCACAGTATGTTGGCAGCAATGGCAGGAATCTGGGCCAATTTTATTGCTGAGAGGCTTTGAGGTTTAATTTTGCAGTAAATAAATGTATTAGTTTGGCATTTGAATGTGAAGGCATATTGCATGACAATAAAAAGTATCCACTTATCCCACATTCTGTGTATGAGACAAATAAATACATCTTACGCAACATTTTGATTATTGTTGCTTTAGATTTTTGTTTGTCAGAAAAGCCAGCCATTTCATTTTAATTAGGCTACTTAACCGTAAGGGAACATTTTAATAATGGTTTCTTGCTACAGTAATATGGTTACTCCACTTACATTAATGTATTTTGCTGTTGTTGATATTGTTGTTAAAACATTTTCATGCTTGGACAGTCTAAGTCATGGGAATTGTACTGCTTTTTGGCAGTTGTTTTTGAAGTGGTTTTTAAATTTAGTCTACATTTTCTAATTTATACGGAGCCACTGGAGATAACTGAAATCTGGAACCGTGTCCAGATTTCAATGTTATCTGGAGGGTAGTGAACTTTCTCAACATTTTAATTGACAACTGTGCTCAACTCTCTCAATTAAAGCAGGAAGCACCAATGACTCGGTCAATAAAAAAGTGGTCAGATGAAGCAGATGTTAAGCTACAGGACAGACTGGAATATGTTCCGGGATTCTTCTTCCGATGGCATTGAGGAGTACACCACATCAGTCACTGGCTTCATCAATAAGTGCATCGATGATGTCGTCCCCACAGTGACTGTACGTGCATACCCCAACCAGGAAGCCATGGATTACAGGCAACATCCGCACTGAGCTAAAGGGTAGAGCTGCCGCTTTCACGGTGCAGGACTCTAACCCGAATGCTTATAAGAAATCCCGCTAAGCCCTCCGACAAACCATCAAACATGCAAAGCGTCAGTACAGGACTAAGATCGAATCGTACTACACCGGCTCCGACGCTCATCAGATGTGGCAGGGCTTGCAAACTATTACAGACTACAAAGGGAAGCACAGCCACGAGCTGCCCAGTGACGCGAGCCTACCAGACAAGATAAATTACTTAAATGCTCGCTTCGAGGCAAGTAACACTGAAACATGCATGAGAGCATCAGCTGTTCCGGACGACTGTGTGATCACGCTCTCTGTAGCCGATGTGCGTAAGACCTTTAAACAGGTCAACATTCACAAGGCCGCAGACAGATTACCAGGACGTGTACTCCGAGCATGCGCTCACCAACTGGCAAGTGTCTTCACTGACATTTTCAACCTCTTCAACCTCTCCCAACATGTTTCAAGCAGACCACCATAGTCCCTGTGCCCAAGAACACTAAGGTAACCTGCCTAAATGACTACCGACCTGTAGCACTCACGTCTGTAGCCATGAAGTGCTTTGAAAGGCTAGTCATGGCTCACATCCCTGAAACTCTAGGCCCACTCCAATTTGCATACCACCCCAACAGATCCACAGATGATGCAATCTCTATTGCGCTCCACACTACCCTTTCACACCTGGACAAAAGGAACACCTATGTGAGAATGCTATTCATTGACTACAGGTCAGCGTTCAACACCATAGTGCCCTCAAAGCTCATCACTAAGCTAAGGACCCTGGGACTAAACACCTCCCTCTGCAACTGGATCCTGGACTTCCTGACGGGCCGCCCCCAGGTGGTAAGGGTAGGTAACAACACATCCGCCACGCTGATCCGCAACACTGGGGCCCCTCAGGGGTGCGTGCTCAGTCTCCTCCTGTACTCCCTGTCACCCATGACTGCATGGCCATTCACGACTTCAACACCATCATTTAAGTTTGCCGATGACACAACGGTGGTAGGCCTGATCACCGACAACAACGAGACAGCCTATAGGGAGGAGGGTCAGAGACTTGGCCGTGTGGTGCCAGGACAACAACCACTCCCTCAACGTGATCAAGACAAAGGAGATGATTGTGAACTAAAAAGAAAAGGACCGAGCACGCCCCCATTCTCATCGACAGGGCTGTAGTGGAGCAGGTTGAGAGCTTCAAGTTCCTTGGTGTACACATCTCCAACAAACTTACATGGTCCAAGCACACCAAGACCGTCGTAAAGAGGGCACGACAAAACCTATTCCCCCTAAGGAGACTGAAAAGATTTTGCATGGGTCCTCAGATCCTCAAAATGTTCTACAGCTGCACTATTGAGAGCATCCTGACTGGTTGCATCACTGCCTGGTATGGCAACTGCTCGGCCTCCGACCGCAAAGCACTACAGAGGGTAGTGCGTACGGCCCAGTACATCACTGGGGCCAAGCTTCCTGCCATCCAGGACCTCTATACCAGGCAGTGTCAGAGGAACTCCAACCACCCTATTCATAGACTGTTCTCTCTGCTACCGCACGGCAAGCGGTACCGGAGCGCCAAGTCTAGGTCCAAGAGGCTTCTAAACAGCTTCTACCCCCGAGCCATAAGACTCCTGAACATTTAATCAAATGGCTACCCAGACTATTTTCATTGCCCCCCCCCCCCCCCCCCCCTTTACGCTGCTGCTACTCTCTGTTTATTATCTATGCATAGCCACTATAATAACTCTACCTACATGTACATATTACCTCAATTACCTCAACTAACCGCACATTGACTCAGTACCGGTACCCCCTGTATATAGCCTCGCTATTGTTATTTTACTGCTGCTCTTTAATTATTTGTTACTTTTATTTCTTTTTTTAGGTATTCTTTCTTAAAACTGCATTGTTGGTTAAGGGCTTGTAAGTAAGCATTTCACCTGTTGTATTCAGCACATGTGACAAATATAATGTGATTAGATTTTTGATTTGATTCTCATACATTGCATACAGTGTACCCTAGACAAGTGAAGTGTATTTGTGAAAGCACAAATGAACGTACACAAGTCGCTGCTTCACTAGGTATGTGTGGCATGCCCACTCTGTCCATTTAGCTGTGCTAGACGGATTGAGCTCATAAAGCTGTCACAGAGGAAAACACAGGGTCTGCCCCCAAGGCCCTGGCCCTACATTGCTACTACTTCACTGCTTTACTTAATTAAAATGGCCCAGCTTAAATCTTCCCTGCAAGCAGCTCTGATCACCCCTTGCTTGTATGGGCCATACACTATGCACGGTGTCTACCCCTCCCTCACCAGCCATCACCATGGTCCTCACTGGACCCAAGTAGACCCACTGGTATTGGTTCCATGACAGACATCCTTGGGCTAGGTTATTGGAAGGAGAGCTATGCTCCCTCAACCAAGGTGTAGGCAGGGGATAACCAGCTAGAGGAACTGGAGCATGGTCTGCTAGCAGCTAACTGATGATATCCCTCTACTGCCTACTGTATGTGACCCATTTGTTCGCTTTGACACAGCTTGCCATAAGGGTACCCTTTCTTTGTAAAAAAAAAAGGCAAACAAAAGTTTACTGCCCAACTTTTTACCTCTAACACTTTTATACTCCTATTGGGACACTTAGCTTTTAGAAAATACGTTTTTTTTTTGTTGAATGCCTAATACAGTATCAATTGCATGACATTGCCAATGCGCTTGTGGATAGTTTGCCCTCTAAAAATGGAATGCATTTTATTTAGTCATTACCAGTATTACTTCCCTTCTCCTTACAGTATCTCAACGCTAGGAGGGGAGTTATGTGTTAATATAGCCGCTGCGCTCAGCCTTCTTTGAGAAATGACTTAATCATGTTTTTGATCTCTCCTCTAGGGAGACAGGAAGGGATTATGCTGGGTGTTGGAATGTAACATTAAGATCAATGCCAAAATAAATAATCAATAGATTAAAAAAATAAATTAAGAGTCATTTGCCTTTCTCAAGTCTAACTTTCGGTAAATATTTTTGAACAGACTGAAATTAGCATTTGTTTTCATAGCAATGCTGTTTATTGGAAGTGGGAACTATTCTATCTTTATTTTTTTATATATATATACAGGTGCAGCAGTCTGAGACATACATACTAGATATGTAAATTAGCAATATACTATGTCAATGCAGTGTAGACTAGCTTAGGACTTAGTTGAGTGTGTGAGTAATATTACCTGTTTTGTTAAAAAGCATTTATCCCCACTGTCTGAGAGCAACAACAAAAATGTGACTGAATGCTAATCTGTCAACCTTTCTTCTCCTTGCGTTCTCCCTCCAAGCTTCTGAGACATTCACCTGTTTACAAAGTGACCTCTTTGTATAGTTGATGTGCACCAGACATGTACACAGTAGGAGAAACTGAATGCTCACATCTGTCTGTCTGTCTCCTCTCCTCCTGCCACTGCAGCTTCTGTCAACGTGCTGGTGCAGAACTGCAAGATCTACAATGATGCCAGCTGTGACATCTCTGCAGACGGGCAGCTCCTGGCCGTGTTCATACCCAGCAGCCAGCGGGGCTTCCCAGACGAGGGCATCCTGGCTATCTACTCTCTGGCGCCTCACAACCTGGGAGAGATGCTCTACTCCAAGAGATTCGGTAAGTCATTGTCTCTCTAAAGCACGTGTCAAACTCATTCTATGGCGGGCCGAGTGTCTGCGGGTTTTCGCTCCTCCCTTGTAATTGATTGAAATTTAAAGGAAAAACCTAAACCCAGCAGACAGCAGGCCCTTCATGTAATGAGTTTGGCACAACTGCTCTAAAGTAACATGGTGGCCCATAATAGTCCATGAGCTAGGCCCCCAAATTTGGGCCATCAGGCTCACTTGGGCTGACAATGTCTCATAGTGATTTTTTTGAAGATCTGATTTTTTTGAAGATCTGTGTCCCTAGAGATATAACATGTGTGATAGCAGTGTAGCAATGGTAACTTTCTGTGTTATCACTCTTTATTTCATCCCTCCATCCCATTCTTTTTTCCCATAGGGATTTTACCCCATGACAGTCAGTATACAAGTTTAATACCCTTCAATCATAGACAACTGTGAATCTAAGCTTTCCAATCAGAAGCATTTTCATGTCAGAATTACCTGTATAAATGGCTTTAAAAAGGAAACTTTGTTTGACAAGTGGTTTTAAAATGGCACCTGACCACACGACTGAACAGTAGTCCAGGTGCGACACAACTAGGGCCTGTAGGACCTGCCTTGTTGATAGTGCTGTTAAGAATGCAGAGCAGCACTTTATTATAGACACACTTCTCCCCATCCTAGCTGCTGTTGTATCAATATGTTTTGACCGTGACAGTTTACAATCCAGGGTTACTCCAAGCAATTTAGTCTACTGAACTTGCTCAATTTCCACATTATTCATTACAAGATTTAGTTGAGGTTTAGGGTTTAGTGAATGATTTGTCCCAAATACAGTGCTTTTAGTTTTGAAATATTTATGACTAACTTATTCCTTGCCAGCCATTCTGAAACTAACTGCAGCTCTTTGTTAAGTGTTGCAGTCATTTAATAATAATAATAATAATAATATGCCATTTAGCAGACGCTTTTATCCAAAGCGACTTACAGTCATGCGTGCATACATTTTTTGTGTATGGGTGGTCCCGGGGATCGAACCCACTACCTTGGCGTTACAAGCGCCGTGCTCTACCAGCTGAGCTACAGAGGACCATTTCAGTCGCTGTAGTAGCTGACGTGTTGAGTCATCCGCATACATAGACACACTGGCTTTACTCAAAGCCAGTGGCATGTCGTTAGTAAAGATTCAAAAAAGTAAGGGGCCTAGACAGCTGCCCTGGGGAATTCCTGATTCTACCTGGATTTTGTTGGAGAATCTTCCATTAAAGAGGACCCTCTGTGTTCTGTTAGACAGGTAACTCTTTATCCACAATATAGCAGAGGGTGTAAAGCCATAACACATACATTTTTGCGGCAACAGACTATAATCGATAATGTCAAAAGCCGCACTGAAGTCTAACAAAACAGCCCCCATAATCTTTTTATCATCAATATTTTTTCAAAAAGCTTACTAAGGGTTGGTAACAGGCTGATTGGTCGGCTCTTTGAGCCATTTAAGGGGGCTTTACTATTCTTAGGTAGGGGAATAACTTTTGCTTCCCTCCAGGCCTGAGGGCACACACTTTCTAGTAGGCTTAAATTGAAAATATGGCAAATAGGAGTGGCATTATCGTCCGTTATTATCCTCAGTAATTTTCCATCCAAGTTGTCAGACCCCGGTGGCTTGTCATTGTTGATTGAAAATAAAACTTCCACACTTATTTTACAGAAATCAAAATTACAATGCTTGTCTTTCATAATTTGGTCAGATATTCTTGGATGTGTAGTGTCAGCGTTTGTTGCTGGCATGTCATGCCTATGTTTGCTAATCTTGCCAATGAAAAAATCATTAAAGTAGTTGATAATATCAGTGGGTTTTGTGATGAATAAGCCATCTGATTCAATGAATGACGGATCGGAGTTTGCCTTTTTGCCCAAAATTTCATTTAAGGTGCTCCAAAGTTTTTTCTATAATTCTTTGTCAATTATAATAATATATAATAATATGCCATTTAGCAGATGCTTTTATCCAAAGCGACTTACAGTCATGCGTGCATACATTTTTGTGTATGGGTGGTCCCGGGGATCGAACCCACTACCTTGGCGTTACAAGCGCCGTGCTCTACCAGCTGAGCTACAGAGGACCACATTATCTTTGTTTCATAGTATAGTTTCTTCTTTTTATTCAGTTTAGTCACATGATTTCTCAATTTGTAGTACGTTTGCCAATTGGTTGTACAGCCATACCTATTTGCCATCTCTTTTGCCTCATCCCTCTCAACCATAAAATGTTTATTCCTCATCAATCCAGGGGGATTTAACCGTTTTTAGTCATTTTCTTAATGGGTGCATGCTTATTAGTAACTGGGATAAGCAATTTCATAAATGTGTCAAGTGCAGCGTCTGGTTGCTCGTCATTACAAACCACGGACCAACAAATATTCTTCACATCAACAACATAGGAATCACTACAAAACCTATTGTATGACCTCTTATACACAATATTAGGCCCAGCCTTTGGAACTTTGGTTTTCCTAGATATGGCTACTATATTGTGATCAATACATGTTGATGATTTCATTCCTGTACTATTTGTAACTAGCCTGGTAGGTTGATTTGATAACCTGAACCAGGTTGCAGGCACTAGTTAAAGTTTGAAGCTTTCTCTTGAGTGGGCAGACTGATGAAAGCCAGTCAATATTTAAATCACCCAGAAAGTTACCTTTCTATTGATATCACATATATTATCAAGCATTTCACACGTTATCCAGATACTGACTGTTAGCACTTGGTGGTCTATAGCAGCTTCCCACCAGAATGGGCTTTAGGTGAGGCAGATTAACCTGTAGCCATATTACTTCCCCTGTTGGCATTTGTCTTTTCTGTAAATGTTATAACCTTTTATTGCTACCACTGTATCATCAAAGGTATTATCTAAGTGAGTTTCAGAGATTGTCAGAATATGAATGTCATCTGTTATTGATTTTCATGAACCTTGCTTCTTAAGCTACATATGTTAACGTGGGTTATTTTGTAACACTTTTCTGGGAGGCTTAAGTATTTTTCTTGCTTTACTGGGAAGCTTGGCAAAGGTAGACATACTCTGGTTATTTTTATTAGTGCAGGCTGAGCTGCACACGGTGGACTTCCTGTTAGGGCACACCACCTCAGTGCTAACAGTATTACTCGGTTTCATAGGCATATGATTACTGCATACAATAGCTGTAGGATCAACCAACTTTGAAAGCATCCATGACTATTCACATGTACATGTCCATTTTACATTTTTGAAGATGAAATATTGCAATTATTGATCATAACATCTTCAGAAATCAGTGATTCAAACAGCTTTTTGGGCACCTTCTTACCACAATTATGTGAATAATTTAACATCTGGCCCATGTGGTTGTGTACTCTACATAACTATGAAAATATTTGGACATACTACAATTGTATTTCATACAGGTATGGTCATATGAAATCGTGCAATAACACCCCATTGAGTTGTTTGGCGCCATATTGGAAAAAGGCTTCTGTGGGGCTAATGTGTGAATTCTGTGAAGGCCCTGTATCTACAAATCTTCTAGCTATGTGTGTGCAATTTGGTGCCTCTTTCACCAAAGTTACAATCCAAAAACATAGCTGCCCCATTACATTGAATTCTTTGGCTAAGCTTCCAACATTCCATGACCTACTTGTCAAACTAATTTTTAAATGTATTAGGATTTCCTTTTTAAAGCCATTTGTAACAGGTCATTCTCATACAGTGCCTTCAGAAAGTATTCACACCCTTTTGACTTTTTCCACATTTTGTTGTGTTACAGCCTGAATTTAAAATGGATTAATTAAAAATGAAAAGCTGAAATGTCAATAGGTATTCAACCCCTTTGTTATGCAAGCCTACATTATTCAGACCCGTTGACGTTACAGCCTTATTCTTAAATTGATTACATTTCCCCTCCTCAATCTATACACAATACCCCATAATGACAAAGCAAAAGCAGGTTTTTATGAATTTTTGCAAATGTATTAAACATAAAAACAGATAGTATTCAGACCCTTTGCTATGAGACTCGAAATTGAGCTCAGGTGCATCCTGTTTTCATTGATCATCCTATATGTTTCTACAACTTGATTGGAGTCCACCTGTGGTACATTCAATTGATTTGACATGATTTGGAAAGGCACACACCTGTCTATATAAGGTCCCAGAGTTGACAGTGCATGTCAGAGCAAAAACCAAGCCATGAGGTTGAATGAATTGTCCATAGAGCTCCGAGACAGGATTGTGTCAAGGCACAGATATGGGGAAGAGTACTAAAAAATGTCTGCAGCATTGAAGGTCGCCAAGAACACAGTGGCCTCCATCATTCTTAAATGGAAGAAGTTTGGAACCACCAAGACTCTTCCTAGAGCTGGCCACCCGGCCAAACTGAGCAAATGGGGGAGAAGGGCCTTGGTCAGGAAGGTGACCAAGAGCCCAATGGTCACTCTGACAGAGCTCCAGAGTTCCTCTGTGGAGATGGGAGAACCTTCCAGAAGAACAACCATCTCTGCAGCACTCCACCAAACAGCCCTTTATGGTAGAGTGGTTAGACGGAAGCCACTCCTCAGTAAAAGGCACATGCCAGCCCGCTTGGAGTTTGCCAAATGGCACCTAAAGCACTCTCAGACCATGAGAAACAAGATTCTCTGGTATGATGAAACCAAGGTTGAACTCTTTGGCCTGAATGCCAAGCGTCACGTCTGGGGGAAACCTGGCACCATTCCTACGGTGAAGCATGGTGGTGGCAGAATCATGCTGTGGGGATGTTTTTCAGCGGCAGTTACTGGGAGACTAGTCAGGATCGAGGCAAAGATGAACGGAGCAAAGTACATGATGATAATCTGCTCCATAGCCTCATGACCTCAGACTGGGGCGAAGGTTCACCTTCCAACAGGACAAAGACCCTAAGCGCACAGCCAAGACAAAACCAGTTTTTGCGTTGTCATTATGGGGTATTGTGTGTAGATTGATGAGGGAATACAATTATTTAATCCATTTTAGAATAAGGATGTAATGTAACAAAATTTGGAAAAAGTAAAGGGGTCTGAATACTTTCTGAATACACTGTAAATCAATTCAGGAGTAAGAATGTGCTTAGCAAATAACAAGTTGCATGGACTCACTCTGTGGGCAATAATAGTGTTTAACATACAATTATCTGTAAGTTCCCTCATTCGAGCAGTGAATTTCAAACACAGATTCAACCACAAAGACCAGGGAGGTTTTCCAATGCCTCGCAAAGAAGAGCACCTATTGATATATAAAAGCAGACATATCCCTTTGAGCATGGTGAAGTTATTAATTACACTTTGGATGTTGTATCAATACACCCAGTCACTACAAAGATACAGGCGTCCTTCCTAACTCCGTTGTTGGAGAGGAAAAAAACCGCTCAGAGATTTCACCATGAGGCCAATGGTGACTTTAAAACAGTTACAGTTTAATGGCTCTGATAGGAGAAACCAGAGAATGGATCAACAACATTGCAATTGCTCCACAATACTAACTTAATTGACGGAGTGAAAATAAGGAAGCCTGTACAGATGAAACATATTCCAAAACATGCATCCTGTTTGCAATAAGGCACTAAAGAAAAACTTTAAAGAAATTAACTTTATGTCCTGAATTCAAAGCGTTATGTTTGGGGCAAATACAACACATCACTGAGTACCACTCTTCATATTTTCAAGCATGGTGGTGGCTGCATCATGTTATGGATATGCTTGTCATCAGCAAGGACTGGGGAGTTTTTTTAGGATCAAAAGAAACTGAATAGAGGTAAGCACAGGAAAAATCCTAGAGGAAAACCTGGTTCAGTCTGCTTTCCAACAGACACTGGGAAACAAATGTATCTTTCAGCAGGACCATAACCTAAAACACAAGGCCAAATATATACTGGAGTTGCTTACCAAGACGACATTGAATGTTCCTGAGTGGCCTAGTTACAGTTTTGGCTTAAATTGGCTTGAAAATCTATGGCAAGACTTGAAAATGGCTGTCTAGCAATGATCAACAACCAACTTGACAGAGCTTGAAGAATTTTTAAAAGAATGTGTAAATATTGTACAATCCAGGTGTGCAAAGCTCTTAGAGACTTACCCAGAAAGATTCAATCAATCAATCAAATGTATTTATAAAGCCCTTTTTACATCAGCAGATGTCACAAAGTGATATACAGAAACCCAGCCTAAAACCCCAAACAACAAGCAATGCAGATGTAGAAGCTGTATTCGCTGCGAAAGGGGATTCTAACATGTATTGACTCAGGGGTGTGAATACTTATGTAAATTAGATTTCGGTCTTGAATTTTCAATAAATATGCAAACATTTTGTGTAGATTGGAGGGAAAAAAATATTTTAATCTATTTTGAATTCAGGCTGTAACACAACAAAATTTTGGAAATTCAAGGGCTATCAATACTTTCTGAAGGCACTGTATGTACCCTAGAGATCAAAGGTATTTTGACCTGAACATTCAAAATGTTTCTGACGGAAGGCTGTGAATCTAAGCTTTCCAATGATAAATGATTAAAGGGTATAAGTGAGCAATAACTTGTTGTATACTGCCATTGTTTGTCATAGGGAAAAATTATGGGATGGAGTGATGAAAGAGAGTTATAACACACACTGCTCTCACACTTTTTCCAACCGTAGGGACATAGACCTTCAAAAAAAATCACTATGCGACATTGTCAATCAAAGTGAACCCGACCGACCCCCCCCCCCCCCTCCCCCGGCACATGGACTTTAAGGAGCGCTTTGAAATATATGTTCTGTGCTGTCATTCAGTGGTGTCAATACAATCTTAGAGATTAAATCTTTAAAGTCCCTTTTCAGCAGTATTGTTTTAGTATATTAATAAAGGTGTATTAAGCATGAAGATTGATGAAGGTAAATTAAAGCTTTAGATAGGCAACACTTTTTTAAAGTTAAGTAGATATGGGAATGTGGGAGGCCTACTTAATTAGCTTAGTCATAAATGGAAAATGAATTGTGTAGAGCAAGTCTGGTCCCAAAGTATCTGTAACTACAGTAATTTATAGTTTGTACTACTCTCGTGAGCAGTACAAACACTTACCAGTCCTTAAGACTAGGCAATAGCTTAATCAAGTACACAAATATACCTTTAATTGAATGGTTCCTGTTGTCTGTTATTTATAGCTGCTGTGTCAATAGGTATTCAGAATGCAATCCCAATTATCCATAAAGCAATTTACAGTATGGAGTGTTTTTAGGCCCTCAAGTAAAACCATGACAGAAGGTGTTCAATATTTGCTTTAAGTTTAAATGCCAAGCTCATCCATGCTCAACATAAAGTAGCCTAACCATCTCTTCTTTGTCTAGGTCCTAATGCCATCTCTGTCAGCCTGTCCCCGATGGGCCACTACGTGATGGTGGGCTTGGCCTCCCGCAGGATCCTTCTCCATCACACCACAGACCACATTGTAGCACAAGTGTTCCGCCTGCAGCAGCCCCATGGTGGAGAGACTTCCATGAGGGTGAGTTTGGCCAACGTTAACCAGAAACAACAAAGTATTATGCCATTTTATTTCTGCTTTCGTCAAAGCATCTTGATTCAGGTTTATTTGCATTGAACTTGAGAATGCCAGCAAGAACCTAGACCCAGAATAGCTTAATCAAGTACACAAATATACCTTTTTAGATTTTTAGCAGGTGCAGGCTGCATTCAACAGAGAGGGACTCACCATTTTGGATATACAGTGGGGGAAAAAAGTATTTAGTCAGCCACCAATTGTGCAAGTTCTCCCACTTAAAAAGATGAGAGAGGCTTGTAATTTTCATCATAGGTACACGTCAACTATGACAGACAAAATGAGGAAAGAAATTCCAGAAAATCACATTGTAGGATTTTTAATGAATTATTTGCAAATTATGGTGGAAAATATGTATTTGGTCAATAACAAAAGTTTCTCAATACTTTGATATATACCCTTTGTTGGCAATTACACAGGTCAAACGTTTTCTGTAAGTCTGCACAAGGTTTTCACACACTGTTGCTGGTATTTTGGCCCATTCTTCCATGCAGATCTCCTCTAGAGCAGTGATGTTTTGGGGCTGTCGCTGGGCAACACGGACTTTCAACTCCCTCCAAAGATTTTCTATGGGGTTGAGATCTGGAGACTGGCTAGGCCACTCCAGGACCTTGAAATGCTTCTTACGAAGCCACTCCTTCGTTGCCCGGGCGGTGTGTTTGGGATCATTGTCATGCTGAAAGACCCAGCCACGTTTCATCTTCAATGCCCTTGCTGATGGAAGGAGGTTTTCACTCAAAATCTCACGATACATGGCCCCATTCATTCTTTCCTTTACACGGATCAGTCGTCCTGGTCCCTTTGCAGAAAAACAGCCCCAAAGCATGATGTTTCCACCCCCATGCTTCACAGTAGGTATGGTGTTCTTTGGATGCAACTCAGCATTCTTTGTCCTCCAAACACGACGAGTTGAGTTTTTACCAAAAAGTTATATTTTGGTTTCATCTGACATTCTCCCAATCATCTTCTGGATCATCCAAATGCACTCTAGCAAACTTCAGATGGGCCTGGACATGTACTGGCTTAAGCAGGGGGACACGTCTGGCACTGCAGGATTTGAGTCCCTGGCGGCGTAGTGTGTTACTGATGGTAGGCTTTGTTACTTTGGTCCCAGCTCTCTGCAGGTCATTCACTAGGTCCCCCCGTGTGGTTCTGGGATTTTTGCTCACCGTTCTTGTGATCATTTTGACCCCACGGGGTGAGATCTTGCGTGGAGCCCCAGATCGAGGGAGATTATCAGTGGTCTTGTATGTCTTCCATTTCCTAATAATTGCTCCCACAGTTGATTTCTTCAAACCAAGCTGCTTACCTATTGCAGATTCAGTCTTCCCAGCCTGGTGCAGGTCTACAATTTTGTTTCTGGTGTCCTTTGACAGCTCTTTGGTCTTGGCCATAGTGGAGTTTGGAGTGTGACTGTTTGAGGTTGTGGACAGGTGTCTTATATACTGATAACAAGTTCAAACAGGTGCCATTAATACAGGTAACGAGTGGAGGACAGAGGAGCCTCTTAAAGAAGAAGTTACAGGTCTGTGAGAGCCAGAAATCTTGCTTGTTTGTAGGTGACCAAATACTTATTTTCCACCATAATTTGCAAATCAATTCATAAAAAAATCCTACAATGTGATTTTCTGGAGAAAAAAAATCTCAATTTGTCTGTCATAGTTGACGTGTACCTATGATGAAAATTACAGGCCTCTCTGATCTTTTTAAGTGGGAGAACTTGCACAATTGGTGGCTGACTAAATACTTTTTTTCCCCACTGTACTCCAGATTCCTAACTGGATAATAGTATCGGTTTCCAAATGGTTGCCTTTAATGAGTGAGTTTGTTTTACTGTATGTTTCTCAAGTGGGAACAAACATTCAACTGTCGTCAAAAACCATTTAAAACCATTAATTAAGAAATACTTCACCGGTTTGTTAAGAAATTAAACTGACTTGCATTAGCCTGCTTGTACAGTAGCATGCATCAATCTAAGGCATCAGAGAAGGCAGGACATTTTAATTTAATGGTTCCTGTTATCTGTTATTTATAGCTGCTGTGTCAATAAGCATTCAGAATGCAATCCCAATGATCTATAAAGCAATTTACAGTATGGAGTGTTTTTAGGCCCTCAAGTAAAACCATGACAGAAGGTGTTCAATATTTGCTTTAAGTTTAAATGCCAAGCTCATCCATGCTCAACATAAAGTAGCCTAACCATCTCTTCTTTGTCTAGGTCCTAATGCCATCTCTGTCAGCCTGTCCCCGATGGGCCACTACGTGATGGTGGGCTTGGCCTCCCGCAGGATCCTTCTCCATCACACCACCGACCACATTGTAGCGCAAGTGTTCCGCCTGCAACAGCCCCATGGTGGAGAGACTTCCATGAGGGTGAGTTTGGCCAACGTTAACCACGAACAACAAAGTATTATGCCATTTTTATTTCTGCTTTCGTCAAAGCATTTATTTGCATTGAACTTGAGAATGCCAGCAAGAACCTAGACCCAAATCATCTGTAAGCATCCGCTGGGTGACAGTAACAAAATGAAACCTCCCACATCTGGAGGTAAAGGAGATTGTAAATGATGAACCTCTTCTGGCTGGCAAAGAGTACGACTCTTTATAAATAGCTACATTAACTCCATAATTCTTGGGGGATGAACAATAGATTTCCCTCCCCCATTATCTCTAAGCAACTGAGGAGGAACGTGAGACACAGATATTACAATTCAGTAGCTCAATAATACCCTCGCAGCTCCAGCCCTCTCACAATGGCCAGCCAGATTAGCAACTCCAAACAAACCAAGGCTGGCAGAGCCTCCATTAACTCTACTTTAACTGGATTCTGAAGGTACCAAACATCTTTATTGATCTGCTTTAGAATGTATTTGCTCCAACAAGATGGGCATAGAAAGTGGGCTTACAATCAATGAGAGGATTTTCAAATGCCGCCATGTGCTGGCTCTAGCCTTTTATATCCCTGCAGTGTAATGGAGAAACCTCTCTGACAGAGGATGCTAGACCCCAAGTAGAATTATGGGTATGCAGATCTCGTTTAGTCTTCCATCTACCCCTGGAGCTCTCATGGCCCTTTGGCAGACCACAGTACAGTGTGTTCCCTTTCCTCTTTCAGAGGAACTTGTCTGCTGATACAGTCTTGATGATCTTTGAGCACTGTGAAACAGCACTGTGAAACATTTCATTCTCACTTTTGAATTAGTTTTTTTAAGAGAATACATTTTTTTATAATCATGATTACCGTTTAGAGAATGTACCACACCGTTTACACAATTTCACAATGTGCCACACTTAAATAGTAGTGAAGAGTCTTTGAAAGTGTTCTGTGTTTGGTGGCTCAGTATGTGACTCTGTTTTAGCTGTACATGTATCAGAATGTAGCAGGGGTTGTGGGAGGTGGTGTGTGAAGGATGAGGGGTAAAGTGTTTATGATTCAGGGCTTGGAGCCGGGGGTCCGTCTGTGACATCCCAGTGACCCAGAACACAGCCCAGTGTCCCATGGCCACCTCAGAGCCAGCCCTCAGAGGGCCTGATGGAAGCAGGACCCACTGCCTGGGCAGCCTCTGATGACTTGGCTGGGTAAACAACACCAGGGTGCCACTTTGATGTTGTCTTTCTGTCTCTCCCTCTGCCTCTTGCTGTTTGTGTGACTGTTTTCAGTCCCTCCCCATTTTTGAAGATGCCATGTAGCCCTGGCAACTAGGCTATATGATAATTGAGATGACATTTTGACTTTTTCGGGTGGGGGGGGGCACCAGTAACTCTTCTAACTCCAAACTTCTCACATTGCCAGTGGTGAAATAAGTTTTCTAATTGAACATGGTCTGAAGAGAGTCGTAATTAGCCAAATCGAATTGAACAAATTGTGAATGTTATTTTTGTTTTTAAAGCTGCCACATGGTGCATAAAATCTCATCTCTGATTTGGCGTGAAACTAAGAGGCATTTTGCGCAAAGTGTTTTGTCTCACGTTAATAACTAGTTTTTTGTTCCTATCAAAATGGAAATGATGACTCTTACATATCATAGCAAAAGGGGAATGTGTTATATATGTTCTGAATTTGTAAGTTGAACATTTTGCATTCTGTGCAAGCACATCTGACACACCGCCCAAGTTATGGCAGCGTAGACAGTCCAGTTCTGACAGCTCTTATGCAGATCCCCAATTTTGCTGTCTTGCTCCTACGTTTGGAGATGAATTAAACAGCTTTTTCCCCCTCTCCTTTGTTCTTGAAAAAGTTATTTCTCCCTACTTTGTCACAGAGTGGTGTAAACTGTATGCAGACGTAGACAGACAGGCATATGTGGTCATCCATCTTCGCTTCACAGGGTACGAGGCAGGAAGTAGTATTCGTGTCAGTCACCTGATATGGTTGTCATAGCAGCGGTTTTGGCTAGTCATATTGAGAAGTGGTGTGACAAGCCCAGGTGAATGCTCTTAAATGGGCACTCCAACAACGTCTCTCCTTAACTTGATTCATTGAGGGAACTACCAGGTGTTAAGACAGGAAACAGCTCTATACTTTCTGACAAGGCAGACTCAGCAACACTAATCAGCACTTCAACAGATAGACTAAAGTTCTAACATTGTTCTGCTATTCCCACACTAGTAACGGATTATGTCTCAGGTTCTGAATCATCGGGTTAATTGATAACCAATATATTAACATGAAATTAAGGCTAATCTAATGTGAAGGGTAAAGCTCATTCGAAGACGGCGCTAATGCAGTATAATTCTACAATATTTTGAAATATTTGTTGTTTGTTTTGGTTGTATCATACTGGGACAATATGTTGGTACTCTTTGCTGTGGCTGTAATTGATTTATTTCATTTATGTCCCCATTCCCTCCAGAGAATGTTTGATGTGGTGTACCCCATGGCCGCTGATCAGCGGAGACATGTCAGCATCAACTCGGCCCGCTGGCTCCCAGAACCTGGCCTGGGGCTTGCCTATGGTACCAACAAGGGAGACCTAGTCATCTGCAGACCTGTGTAAGTCTGCACTACGCACTCTTTATATATCTGTTTCTCTCTGTTTCTCTCATTCTTGCCTTCCCTCTCGCACAGTGCAATCTGCCCCTGGCTTAGAGAACTACGTTTGTCCTCAACACCTCTTCTCTCACTACCACAGTGTTTTTAAATCAGGAGTGGCCTGTGGCTAGATTTCTCCCTAAGCATCTTTCTCTATATGCCATGTCTTTGTTTTACGTTTGTACGAATGAAAGCCAATTAGTGCATTTTCTATCCCCACTTTAGATAAATATCTGTTTCTGCTGCTGTTGAGGACAAGAATCCCCTCATTTGTGTGGTTACGTAATGGCCCTTAGAGTCCCAGTGCTCATGGCTTTAAAGCCTTTGACATTCGGGAAGGCAGGCAGCAGTTCCCACCCACCCACGGCAGGCAGGGCAGGGAGAGTTGGATCGATGGAGCGCCCACTGACTTAGTCAAGTCAGAGGAGCTTGTTCTCATTCACTCTTCAAAATGTTTCTCAGTTATGTTTTTCTCCGTTATGTCTGGCTGTCTGAAATAAATTGAGGGAAGGATGATTTGTTCTCCCTAGCCCCCGAGCCTGCATTGTTACTTCCGGGAACAAAAACTATAGCCTAGATCTCATCCAACAGCAGTAAAATGTGCATTATGACCAAACAGGATTTTCTACACGTACAAATTACAAACCTTATTAACAAACCAACAGTTTACTGACAGCGATAGTTAAGTCCAGACAAATAATGTTCTGCGATTTTTAAGAGGAAAATGTGGGAATTATATCTAAAACGTCCCTAAAGACAATTCATCAACAGCAAAATTGTCTCTAATTTGTCAATAATTTGAATGATCCAACCATAATCTTACCTTTACCCAGAGAATATCACTGTACATCCAAGAGAGACTTAAAACTGCATCTATATCGTGAAGCCCTCATTGTGGTCTGTAAAATACAGTAATAGCATTCCTACACACGCAGAGCACCACAGGTGTATAATAATCAAGCAAGCATCACAAGAGGAAGAACACACTGTACTCCCCATGGACATACTGCCTCACTCACAGGCACACATACAGTACAGTACACCACTGCAGCATAGACTCCACATCCCTATTGGGGAAAGCCTATTATGTCCCTGTGTGTTTACTAATGGTAGAAACAGTTGTGCTGCAATCAGTGGCTCATCTCCTACTACACTGTTGAGCAGGAATCATTTAAAGAGGGGAATAATGACTAGAACCCCAGGATGTGGATGTGTTTCTATTCTCTGGTCTGTTTTAATTGCCTGTGTTGTGTCAATTACATGACCAAACATGTCTAAGGGGTCTATAGGCAGGACCTCGTATATGGCCAGACCTCGTATAGCAGCACTACCAACAGCAACGATGCACACGTCTTCTTCTCTACTGAGAAAGCTGCATTTGAAGCTGCGTTTTAATATCTGGCATTTCTCATACGTGTTGGCAGTCTGAAGCAGCGTTTTCTGATTTGCCCACAGGCAGGCTTTTCAGATGAAGGGTCAGTTTCCTCGCTCTCTACGTATTGACGAGAACCCTGAAATCTTCTTCAATCAATTATTTGTTTTTCTTTTCCTACAAGCATTATATTTAATTTTCTGCTTGGATGAAAAACTATTTAAGGCTGCTTGTTTAACTGGAAGAAATGTACTTTTTCATCCACATTTAATCCAAAACAGCCGATTTGATGGTGGCTCACTGCGTTCAGTTTGACATGAATCAGAGCAAACAATGATCATCAGCCCTTTTGAGTGATCAACTGTTTAGGGGATTAGTAATTCAATCAACCCTATTTGTTTCAACTACAGTCTACAGGTTTGTACTGATAGCCACCTTTTTACCTTGACCAAATGCCAGTCTAGCAGAGTTCTGTTGGTCATTGTGTGGTCAGAGTGACCTCTTTAGCAACAGAAGGCACTGGAACCAGTTGGGTAGAGGCCAACCATCCTGGAAAGCCTAATCTATCAGCCTGTCAAACTAAGCTGTTACACATACGTCTCACCATCTCTGTGGCTGTCTGATTTCTCAGTTTATTGGTCATCCCTCTCCAAAATATCTCACATTCCATTGTCTTCCATTGTCCTAGATTTGGGGGATTTGGGTAGCACTTTGTATTTACTGCCCAATTTCGCTGGCAGATGTAGGTGGTTGTTTAGATTTTTCAGCCCCATAATTCAATTTTGCATGCCTGGCTGTTGTAGCCTTTCTGTTTTATTATATAGAATAACAGCATGAAAAATAATGCAATGTGACTTTTTATATCAAGCATGCTGTGCTCTAAGCAGCTTTGCTCCGGAGCAGGGACGTGTTGTTGCTGATGAAACTGAAATGAGATCAGGACAGAGAGAGATAGTGGCCTTGTTTGGGAAATAGTCTCATAAAGAAGAACTTTCCCCCTCTTGGTCCTAACGCTGTCGATATTATTCCTCCATCTTTATATTTCTCCTGAAAGTTTGACCCTACTCCCACCGTGTGTTCTGTTCTTGGCAGCTTTTCTTGGATTGTATACTTGAACTTCCTTTCAGATTCACAGCTAGTGTGCTGGAGGTCTAAAATGTAAGCTTTTCACGGGCCAAATACTCTAATGGTACAGGTAGGAATTCCTTGCTAGTTAGTACAGGGTCTATGTCAGGTTAACCGCAGACTTTGATTGGTTATCCGACTGGAACCAGGCTTTCACATGTACAGGTACCTGAGGAAATCTATCCTCAAATTGATTATCCCACTCCTGCTTCTCACTTTACACAGTGGCCTTCTTACATTTTGAAGCAGAACATGTAGGGACTTGTAAACCCAGATGCACACTCATGATATCCAGCACCTGCTGTCTATAGTACTGTATGTGTATGATCATCACACACATCATATCCCATAAAAGCCTCTAACTGTCATGAGAGCGAGCAGTGGAGCGGTTCTGTGCCCGCCGGATATTGGAACAGCTGGAGGAGAACAGGCCAGTCACCCAGAGACTTCTGGGTAAAGGAGCCCTGAGGAAGAGCTCTCATTATCCCTTTTATGGAGGTATTTTAAGAGCATTGGCAAAACAGTTGAGGCTTCAGCTCTGGCTCATTGTAGTCCTAAACATCTCTGTCCAAACGGTCTCTATTCCAGTTCTTAGAGTGTTGCTCTGAGTGTTTTAAAGGAGTTTCTAGCAAAACTGCACTCACTACAGCTGGACATAGTACTAATGAACCTCATCTGCTACATATTATCCAAGACAATGATGAATAGGCAAACAGTGCCAATATCCAATTACTGGCTCAGACACGTTTGAGTTGGGCCTGTCCAAACTAATGTAAAAATAACTTATGCATAACTTATGCATGTGTCTAATGTTAAATAATCCTGGTGATATTTGCAGAGCTCAATTATATCTTAAGATCACCCCACCCACAAATATGCACACAAACACACATTCGGTTTGAGAGGCTGGAGCAGAGGGCAGCCGCAGTGCAGTGCCCGATGAGCAGTTTAGGGGGTTTAAGTTCCTTGCTCAAGGGAACATCAGCAGTAGGTGGCACCTGAGATATTGATGCCAGCAACCCTCCGGTTGCAAGGCTCACTTCCTGCCATCAGCCACGCTGAAGAAGTATCAGTGTCGGATTCATGCAAATGAGAGAAGACATGGATTGTCTTCCTCCTTTGGGGATTTGAGCAGGTCTCTTCTTCTGCATGGTGTGCTTTACTGTAAAGAGCCATGGTAAAGCAGACACTCTGACAGGATTTGAAAGCACTAGCATGTCAGGGGCTGCCGTTTCAGCGATTTAAGTGTCATGCACTCAATTTGTCTCTCAGATATATTATTTTTGCCTGAGGGAGTGATTGAAAAAAATATCCCCTCTTTCTCCCTCTCTCTCATCCATTTTTTCTTTCAGCACACCAGTCCATCAACTGTACTGGCTTACACACCAGAATATGGTATTTGGAAACATACACATACTGTTTATCTACCCCCCGGCGTGAGAAAGAAGAATAGTCCATATAAGATATCCACTTTTGTGCTATTGAAAATAATATCTTCCCAGTTTAATGCCTGCCAGCAGTTTTCCTAGATCCATGGTAACTACACCAAAAAGAGAGCCATTGCTCAGTTTCTTATCAAATATTTCATTTCCCTGTATCATACTTATTTTGATAAACGGTTGTAGTGGAAGGGTCGTTAAGTGTACATGATTTATCATTGTCTCTCACAGACTGCTTATTCGCTGACTCTGCTGCCTGTCCACTGATGCTGGGGATTAATGGAACATGGAAACTTATTTTGTTCGTTTCCTTCTAATAAGATGCAGCTGATAGACACATTTGAATGGTGCTGTCTTCACAGAAACCAACTGCTTGACTATCTCTAGCTATTCAATGTAACCAGGCTTTATGGGGAGTGGCTTGCATTCTCCCAACACTCAGGCCACAATACTATTTGGGTGTGACTTAAACTTAAAACTTTGGCGACTACTAAGTATTTTTTAAACCTCCCGCTTTGGGCTGAATGTGTCAATGTGTAGTTCATACATGCATAATCTATGAGCAGAATTACTGTTTTACCTAAATTAGCCACAGAATCCCTATTTTGAAAGCGACTGTTTTTCTGGAAGCTGTGCTGCGCCCTTTTCCCTACATTTTCCCCCACGTGGGCCAGCCCCCTAGCAATTAGTTATAGCCAATGAGCTTCAGCCCCTCGCCATTTGAGTGGCAGCTAGCAAGATTCACACACAGCAGAACAAGAGAGAGAGCAATGACGTGGTGCAGATATCTGCACATATGTAACGTAGTACGCAATTTTCGGGACCACTTTTGGCTTGAGAGCACTACTTTCAGAAAAAAAATATATATATATATATACATACATACAGTGGGGGAAAAAAAGTATTTAGTCAGCCACCAATTGTGCAAGTTCTCCCACTTAAAAAGATGAGAGAGGCCTGTAATTTTCATCATAGGTACACGTCAACTATGACAGACAAATTGAGATTTTTTTCCTCCAGAAAATC